TCCTTCAAATTGATCGGCCCGTGTACTATAGATATAATTAAAAAGAACCAATATTCATATAAATTTTTAATTTTAATAACCAAACTTAAACTTATTTTATTGCAGCTAATAATAAATGAAATGAAGGTCACGTCATGGATAAGAGCACTTAAAATCCACCAAGGATTGTCTGTAGATGTGAAAATAATTTTGGTGGCCAATGGGGTCTCATTTCATAGGCTTCGCCTTGTTTATTATCCGTACGTTTTTACAAATCCTAACTTCCACTCTTGTTACGTTCAAGGAACATGATGGCCCATGCTGCTGCTTTCATGGCTGCCAAGAACCATCTCTCTTTCTCAATTTATTCCTTTTTATTATTAGGTTTAAAGGTGTATAGCATCCTCAATTTTTTAAAAGGTAATCAATCAAAATTTTGAAATTTTACATTTAATTTAAGGGTAAAGTATAGTAATGGTCACTGAACTTTTCTTAAACTTTCATTTAGGTCCCTTAACTTTTAAAAATTGCAATACAGTCCCCCAACATTTAGTCCGTTTGTAATATGATCCCCAACAGTTACGTCGGGGACCATATTGCAAACTGACTAAATGTTGGGGGACCTTATTGCAAATGGACTAAATGTTGGGTACCGTATTGAATGTTTTAAAAGTTGAAAGACCTAAATGAAAGCTTTAGAAAAATTCAGTGACCATTACTATACTTTACCCATATATATTTTGTCACCATTGCTAGGCTCTTCTATCACCTAGCTCAAACCAATCTAGCAAAACCCCACGAGTCCCACCTACCGTTTCCAGTTCCACAAAACCAAGAAACAATGAACGGATACTCATATTCCAAGATCAAAGTTGAAGTTGCAGGCAATGAAAGTTCCATATCCATGTTGTCTTCTTCTCCCTCAGATCTTCAGCCCATCCCTGAACCCGAAACCCCAAATCCACTTCGAAACCAACCCCAAAACCGACCAAAAACTCGAACCCCGACACCCAATGTTCATCGGAGCAAGAAGACGACGTCGGTGACGGTGGTGATCGAGCCGAGGGCAACAATGACGGCGGTGGTGGTGAGGAGAAGATGATGTCTGTCGATCCCACACTGAGACGAAACAGCTCGGTTTCTTCGGCTTATGCGCTCCAGCTCCAGACCGCCGTGAAGAGAGCGTTCTCGATGCGAAGATCTTGCTCGGTATCGGAAAGTTATTGTAGGATCCATGACCAGCGTGTGAATTTAACATCTCCCTTGGATGAAGATCAAGTACCGGGCATCAGTGGAACTGAAAAGATCTGTGAAGAAGAAGAACACAAGAGACAAGATCCTTAAAGCATGGAAGAAATTATTTAGACTCTAGTGTCGTTTAATTACTATAAATTTTTCATATGCTTTGCAATTTTCTTTTCTTTTTTAATTATTGTTTAATTATTACATTTTCCCTTTTTTAAAATTTAAATAGTATTGCCTTAATTTCATATACTGGAATACTATATAATAAAGTAAAAATTATTATTTAATCCTCTCAAGATTTCTTTATTTAATTTTTCTCATCCAATTCCAAGTTTTATTCCTGATTAATTTGGACCGACTGGGTCACACATCTAGTTTTGGTGGGTTAGTCTCTTAGCGGGGTTAAATTAGATTTTAATTATATCTAAAATTAAATAGGAATGAATTTTTAAAATAAAAAGAAGGTAAATTTTAAATTTGATGTCTTATTTAAGAAATATTAAAAAAATTTATTCAATCCAATATAATATCATATTTTTAATATTTTTATTTTCAGAAAATATATAATTACTAAAAATTGTTTTTTCTAGCATATGAATATTTGTTTATTGATTTATTGTCTCATAATAAAATATTTAAATCTCATTATAAATGTGGTTTAAGTGATTGAAAAATTATTTATTCGTTAAAAAACAGAAAATGCAAATGAGAATCGAAGGGACAAGACAAGACCATCAATAACACGTGGATTTTATTTAGACACACTAAAAGAAATTTATTTTTAGAGTAAAGTATAGTAATGTCATTGAACTTTTCTAAAGCTTTCATTTTGGTCTCCCAACTTTTAAAACTTGCAATATAATCCCCCTATATTTAGTCCATTTGCAATATGGTCCCCTAACAGTTACATCAGGGACTATATTGCAAACTGAATAAATGTTGAGGGACCATATTACAAATGGACTAAATCTTGGGGGACCATATTGTAAGTTTTAAAAGTTGGGGGACCTAAATGAAAGCTTTAGAAAAGTTCAATGACCATTAGTATACTTTACCCTTAATTTAATGTTAAGGTTAAAAATTAAATAATTAATTTATTGAATTGATTATCTTTTGATTAATTTTGACTATAGAATGTTTACATAATTTAGACATCATTCTTACGCGATACATTGTGATTATGTTATATGGAATATGTATTTTTTTAAAGAAAATCTTGAAAATTACTAAGAACTTAAAATTTTATTAAGTTATAGTGAACCTAAAAATAGCATTTCTGGGAAATCTTAATAGATTGTTGTTGTTTTTTTTTATTTGAGGGTTTTCAGTACTCCATTTTTTAGATAGTTGAAGACAATTAGAAAATGAAATGAATTCGAAAGAGCTCATTGAGAAAATTTCAATTTTGCATTTTGGATTTTAAAGATCAATTAATTTATCAAGGAAAATTAAGTGATATAAACGTTTATTATCAAATGATTGAGTCTTCAAGTGTATATTGTCTTATATTCGTTCAAAATTATCAAAAGAAAAAAGATAACATACTAACAGCTAAGAAAGATTTTAAACAATACTATATTATAATCACATCATACAATTTTGAGTACTTAGGGGTGTTTGGATGGGGAAATGTGGGATTCCCATGTAAATAGAATCCACATTCCCCCGTTTGGTTAAACTGGGAATCTCATTCCCGGTAATGTAAGATTACTAATAGTGGATTTTTTTGGGGTATATTACCATGAATGTCATTATCTCGCTTTCCTTAGGTATTTGTGGATTAACGGCGTTTTGGACTAAAATGCCCTTACATTTTTTTTCAAAAATATCATTCTTTTGTCATTGAATAATAAAAATTCTACGAATGTTAAATTACAAATTTATCCTTAAACTATTTTATATTTACAAAAAAAAATCTATAATTAAAATTTTATATAAAGTTCAGAGGTTAAAATAAAATTTATAAAATTTTACCCTTTCATTAAACCTTTTTATATTTTCAATTTTGTAAAAATAATTATATAAATTTTATGAATTTAAATTTTTTAAAGACAGTAATATTACATTCCTGCTAAGCCAACCAAACATAAAATACAATATTCTCAGTAATCATATTCCCTGGTAATCTTACATTCCCACTGGTAATCTTACATTCTCACTGGTAATCTTACCTTTCGTGAACCAAACTCACATTCATGCTATAAAAATTCAATATCTTAGTTATATGTGGCTACAACATTTCCTACCAAATATGGAAATTGGGATAATGCTATACCAAGTCATTGTAAACATTGTTTTGAAAACTGGATCGGATCGGTCGGTTCAATCGGTTTAATCGAAAACCGTTACCTAGTCTGATTCAAACTAAACCGGTTGAACTGCTATTAGTGAACCGGCCGGAATCGTTAAACCGTTCGAACCAGACCGGCTGAAAACCGGAAAAAAACCGCCAATTTTGTTTTTTTTAACAAAAATTAAACCAAACGACGTCGTTTGTTAAACGAGCCAAGTCGAACTCGAGTATTGCTGAGCTCGACTCAAACTTTAAAAGAAAGCTCAACTCGTCTCAAACTCACGAACTAAAAATTATCAAGTTCAACTCGAACTCGAAATATAATATTGAAACTTGAACTCGAAAAGGCTTGAACTCAAAAAAAAATTTAGAAGCTCGATTAAAGCCTAAAATTCGAGCTTGATTGAAGTGAAAGAAAAGTACACTCTATGCTCACCAAAAGGCTCCATGATTTTGAATGTCAAATTACCTCTATTATTTATAGAAGTTAGTTGGGATGCTCTTCTATGTTTCTTAGCCGTGTGGATTGTTTTGTTATCATATTTTTACTCTTTAGACTTTTGGGATGTTCTTCTATGTTTCATAGTCATGTGAGATTGTTTTTTTAAAAAAATTAAACCAAACAATATTATTTTGTTATGCTTTTTTTAGCCCCAAATTTATTTTTTAATTATAGTTATATAATTATATTTATTATTTAATATATTATATCTTAAATATTATGTTGTAGTTAATTTGAATCATTTTGTTTCACTTGATTTTATGGTTTTTAACTCATATATGTTATGACTTGCTTAAATATGACTTGTGATATACAAATTTATTTTTTATTAAATATTTTTAGTATTTTTATTTAATTTTTTAAATAATTATAACGTCGTCCGGTTCTTCCAACCGGTCGGACCGATTCAATCGATTGAACCAGTAAACCGATAGCATGATCGATTCGTTAACCGGTCCGGTTCTAAAAACCATGGTTGTAAAACAAAAGATGCAGATCATCTTCAACTTTTACTCGACTTTAAAGTTCTCCCAAGTTGAATGAAAAATCCTACAGCTTTGCCTAATTTTTGACACAGGCATGACCACCCAGGGCTTACCTTTGTTTTCTCAGAAAACAGGGTTACCCCTCTCCTCTCCCTTCACATGGCTAATCCCCAAAGAGTTAAATTCGCGAACTGCTAAATATATTGGAATTGCAAGTTTAAGTAAAGAGAAAAGAATATATATTGGAACAATTACAAGCAAAAGATCACATTACATTAGGAATTAAGGTAGGATCTGCAATATAAATGAATGAAGGACGTAATCTTTAAAATTAAGCAGAAAGATCTCAACCCGGGAATTGGGTTTTGGATCTTTGCTTTTATGGATAAGAACTTCATTGAGCCATCTCATTTTCCAACTGACAATAATTGGATTCTTCGTCCTTGTGAGGAATAATGGCATGAAACCGCTGTAAGCAGTGAAAAGGCTTTACAAATTTACCTGTAGTTTTTTTAAACCTGGGGAATAATCCAAAGATGGTAAATTTAATTTCCTACCCATCATTTTCTTTTTCCTTTACTGGTGAAAATAACTCCACCAAGGGAGAACTAATCTAAATGGTCCAATTTGTACAATAAATCGTCAATTTGCCAATAAAGGAACTGGAAAAAGCGGCGGCTTGGGCGGCTTCTCAACTTTTACTTCCACCTTGTCTTGCCGTGGAGGTTGACATGGACATGGTAATGCTATGAACTTTGGGATATCGTCTCCCGGCATTAATACAGGCAAGCTCTGGCTTTGGTTTTTCTTCATATCCTGAAATACGGTAACAGAAACTAAGGTAAGCTTCAATTCTAATCTCCTTCTTTATGAAAGGGTGTGAGACAGAGAGAAAATTTACCATGAAATCAGGGTCGGGTTTGGAGGGAGAAGCTTCGATGTCGGCGTCGGGGTGGGTGCCGTCGGCGAAATCTCGGCGAAGTGATCTGAGCTTGTCCCAATGGTAGCAGCAGGAGAAGATGCCACTCAAGCTGAAAATGATGATTAAGAGGAGAGCTGTGCCGAGGGGGAAGCCGAGGGACGGTCGAGATGCATCCACTTGGGCCGGTGAAACAACGTGATTCTCCATCGCATAAGACTCCTCTTCTCCGATGATGAATGACTTGGTCTTTCTGCTGCTGCCGTTGTTCCTTCTCTCATATGTATAAAAAGAAAACAGAGAAAGAAATCAGCCTCCAAAATTATGGTCAGTTGCAGGTAAATGGAGGAGGGAGAGGTGGATTTTATAAACAAAGGTGCAGCGCCAAATATCCTTACTGTCCGGGCCATAGTACGAATTTTAGTGTGTCCAAAGTGTTGCGTGCTGGACATGACCCAAAAGCAAAAGCTTAAACACTCCAATGTTTTACTGCTCGAGTAACAAGTTGTTTCATATTTAGAGTTTATTTTTATATTTTTTAATACACATTTAACTTTAACTTTATATCATATTATCTATTTAAATTATAATATTTAAAGTTATCAATAGATGAAATTGGTTACTACAGTTATAGGTCGGTGTTAATATTCCATATCTCCGTGAAAAATTAGAGAATTGAATTTAGGTGAGATAGTTTTATAGCAGTTGTTTCTCGTCTTTCGAACATGCTCGAAAGGTTTTATGACGATTTTTAGTGCATGTGTCAGTTGTATGGTCATAATGACTGCCCTTATGTTAGCAGACTAAGCAGGCAGGACCAAGTGATGGCGGATTTAGCTTTTAGAGATCACATGGATTTGTAAGAGATCACATCAACTAGTAACTTCTTGAGAGATGTTATATATTTGAGGTTCTCCTTTTGAAAAGTCGAAAGTACTTAGCGTCCTCCAAATAATGTGAGACGAAAAAATGATACATGTAAAGGGTGGTACAACATGAAAAAAATGTTTTAACCTATAAACCTTAAATTTTAAATCAAAAATCTTTAAATTCTAAATTTAAACTCTTAATTCTAAATTACCAAACTTTAAATAAATCGTGTAACCTTAAAATGTACAAATTTATATAATATCAATTAAAATTTACGCACTAAATATATTTTTATTTGTTAGAATATTATTTTTAATAATGGAATTTAAATCGAGAAAACACATATATTGTAAGATGAAGGAAACATGGTGTGAAAGCAAAAACCAGGAAATTTCTAACGATAAAGGAATTGGCTGCATTAGCTGGCAAGTTGAGTTTGGTGTAATGCGGGGGTCAGGTCTTGGTCTCCCTCTTTAGCTTTTTGGCAACGAAAACAGCTTACAAGTGATCATATTCTATGGACGGCAGCAGCCTCCTACTTGTGTCTCAAGCATATGTTGGCTCCAACTGTTTGTACTTTCAAAATCACCAAAAAATTAAACCTTTGCAACTACCAATATGTCTTAACTCCCAGCTAATTCTCTAGTACTTCATTTGAAAGCAGCTTATACTTCACACAAGAATGTGGAATTTGCTTGGGGTCATACAACAACCGTGATTTGTTATTTCATATTTGACCTTTTGATGTTGTTAAAGGGCAAAATCATAAACCAAACCCAAAAAGAAGCAATTGATTGGGTGACTTCATATCATATCATATCATATCATATCACACACACACAAAAATCCCCCTTTTTTCGTGGTTTTACAGTAAAAAGCGAAACTTTGGAGAAATTGCAGAATGTTTCTGCAAACAAGAAAGCAAGGAAAGATCCGGGTATAAAATAATAGCAGTAACCGATTGTTTAAGACAAGATGCGTGCATATTTTTTTCCTATGGTTTATGATTGATAGCAACATCTTGGTGGCTATGAATTCTTTATGGAGAAGAGATGTCGTGTAGAATCCAAATTCGAATCCTTAAGAGAGATTTTTCCGCTGTCTTTTGACTTCCCTACATACTAAAATATCACAGTAACCAAATCCTTTTCCCCATCGTTTTTCTTCATAATGGGAACCCTCTTTTATTTGAAGTTTATTTAATAGTTTGAAACTGACTTGTATGCATCATTCCAGAATCTATACATGAAAGTTTAGTTGCAATTAGGGAATTTGATTTTGTTATTCTCAAAACTTGGAATGTTTGAATGATTCAAGTGTCGTTTGGTACGGCAAGAAACAGATAATTTGTAGGTGGAAAAAAGTTCACTGTCCAGTTGACGGTCATTTTCATACCTTTCTGGTCTCCATTTTACCATTTAGGCTTGATTGCTTTGATTTTTCAGCCTGGATGGTTACTGCTCGAAACCATGCTACTACAGTCTATTTGGTACCTGTTATGAACATGGGACCATCACTTTTTTTTTACAGCTTTAGAGATGAAAATTATACTCCCACTGTAAAGAGACTCTCATAAGTCTCTTTAAAAACTTCCCAGAAAATATCATTTTCCTTATAGGGTTTTCACTTTTCAGTCGGATAAAATATGAAATGGACACCAAATATATAATATTAATATTTGCATAAATCCATTTTGTGTAGATCCAGACATCTATTTGTCCGATAATAGGATTTGGTTAAGGTGGCAATTCAATTTGCCATTGCATCTCTTATACACTGTTTATTAATTTGTGGGAGACATGACTGTTGATTGGAAATTGGAAGATATAATGTTCAAAGGGGAAACTATTGCTCATTTTTGGTATAATGGATTTTAATTAGGTTTCATAATGCGTGCATGCTTTTTTGTCTCGTGTTCTTTTTTTAAATTAATAATAATTTATTAAAAATACAATAAAATTATAAGAAATACTTTATATAATTAAAATAGGTTAAATCACATTAAATCGATTATTTTTCTTAAAACTATTAAAGTGCACAAAACAAAATAAAAATATGACCTTACAAGAAAAGATTAAATATTCAATCAAACAATTTAGAAAAAATAATAGATACAAATAAATATCACTATCAAGTATCAATGGTGAGAAATAAAATCATTAACACTAACATGAAATATATATATATATATATATATATATATATAACAAAGACGACACATTAATAAGTTGATTTTATCACAACTCAATCGCGACTTATCTTTAGTGATTGTGTGTACCTATTAATAAAAAAATAAAACCAATCTGATAATTCAAAGTACGAAGAAAATCATAAGATATAAAGAATTGACATCAAATTCAAATATATAAAAAGTGATTAAGATTTTTTTCTCATAATACTTTTTAATTATTTAATTAAAAAAACCTCATATGTTTGAATGTAAACATTATATCTTCATACTATTATGATGTCAAATTTATCTATTTTTATTTTTAATGTTTTAATAGACCCACGTTAGCTGGTTCAAGTGAGTTGAGAAGTGAACCCACCTAAAACAGGACAAAGCACAAGTGCACCATAACAAGCAAAATAATTTCCCCCTTTCTGTGGATAAAATATTTAAATTAATATAAATAATTATAAATTGACAAGGCGAGATGGCGGCCTAGTGAAGTGTCAAAGAGATTGCCCACTTGGTTTTAAGATAGCGATAACTTTAGTAGAATTTTTTTATTGAATTTAATTTATTAGCATTATTATTGATTTAACATATAAAATAATAATATTAAATATATTTAACTTTTAATTTTTTTAATAATATAAATTAGGCATTGAAAATAAACTAATGATTTATTAAACAAATAAATTAAATAGATATCAAATCACAATTTGAATTTGAATTTTAGACATTATTTAAGTCACCTAACATCTTATCTAAATAGATTAATAAAATTTGCACATGATATTTACATGCAGTAAACTTCAACTTAAAACTCTTAAAGTTTTCATATTTCAAACCTACTATTAATCAAACCTGCACATGATACTTTGAGGTCACAGGTTCGAACACCAACGACTGCAAGGGTGATTGAATGTTCATTATCAAATAGTTGAGTACTTAGAATATATATTATTTTGTAATCACCTTTAACTTAATAAAAAAATATTTCATTTGTTAATAAAATATTAATTTTTTACTTTTGAAAGATACATCTTAATATTAATAATATTGATTATAAATTACAATAATCTACAAAACCCTAAAACTTAACGGAACGAAAAGATATAAATGGTTCTATGCCTTTCTTTAATGTTTCAATATATTGATCGATTTTATATAATGATTGAAAGGGTTATATAAAATTTATAACATCTACGATTTTTAAATTTTAAAAAAAAAATCAAAGATGATATATTCATTAAAAAAAGTCTTTTACATATCTTTTTTTTCCTTTAACTTTTTATTTAATCGATGGTGGCACTGTTAATATTGATTATCGATCGCCGGTGATTATTATTTTTCTTATTTTTATTTTTATTTTTGAATTTTTGAATATTTTAATTTTAAATAAGAATATATGTTTGTGTGACACATTTTTCTCTGTTTTGCGGCATGCTTTTTATATGCTCTTGTGGTATATTTCTTTTGGTTTTTGGTATGTTTTTCGCATAACCTTATGATCTTGTGGGTGCTCATACAAAGATACCTCTAATTAGTTTGTTGATAGTCACCTATAGTCATATTTCCATTTTAGTAAAATGTTGTTTGTCGATATAATTAGAATTGTGTAATTAGGAAGCTGTCAAATTAGTTGGTTCACTCACCACTCCTTTATCACTTTATAAAACATCTTGTTTGACAAAACCAATGAATTTTATGAATGTTACTAAGTTCTTTTAATGTTAGACGTCATTCTCAATAGAAGATTATTTTTCTTTGTATCTTTGAGTTTAATATTTTTATTTTATGTATGAGACTTTTGGTTATTATTATAGTCATTTTTCTCTCTATGTTCGGATGTATTGTAATTTTGATTCATTCATTATTTTTAATTAATGAAATTCAATTACCAATACTAAAAAAAATGTAGTGTTTTAAAAATATACACTTCGTAGTTGTTATTGTAACACCCCAATTTAGGGGTTAAATTTTAAAATTATAAAGTAGTGGATTTAATTGGTATTTTGGGAAGAAAATTGAGGATTAAATTGAAAATTTTCAAAGTTAGCAGACCGTTTTATAAAGTGCAAGAAATTTAGTGATTAAATTCATAGTTTATCCAATTTTATTTCGGAGAGAATTATAAACCCCATTCCCCGTATATTTCTGCAAAAAAAATTTCCAGTTTTCCTCCCCTTTGACTCTCCTTTCAACTCTGATATACTTACCGTTCGACATCCGTTCGATGAACTGAAACCACCATCGTGTTCGTTGTCGACCGATGAACAAAACCCCTCAA